TATGCATCATTTATTTTTATACAGGACAAATAATTATAAAACAATTNTATCACACTTCTTAAATATAATTAATATCAAGCAGGAAACTTAATAGTTATGACTATTCTATTCAAAAAACACAGACAACCAATTTTCAATGCATTTTTGTTTGACCGTGTGGACTTGTGGAGTCATGGAAAAAAATTAAAAAATAATTTGTGTTCTAATTTTAAAAATATTTTTACAGAATGTTAATAAGTGGTTATTTATTGCATTTCTTTAAAATTGTTGTCATTGCTTGTGAAACTTAGCAGCTACGATTGATGAAAAAACTACCAATACAACACAACGCACTTTGATTTTCGTGACCGCGTGGTGCATACGGAAAAAAATCAAAAAAATATTCTGCTTCTACTCTAATTTCAAAAATATTTTTACAGAATGTTAATAAATGGTTAATGATCATATTTCTTTAAAATTGTCGTTTTCATCCATGAAACTTAGTAGTTATGAACATTCTGATGAAAAAACACGACCAATACAATGCATTTTCGTGACCGCGTGGTGCATACGGAAAAAAATAAAAAAAATATTCTGCTTCTACTCTAATTTCAAAAATATTTTTACATAATGTTAATAAATGGTTAATTATCATATTTCTTTAAAATTGTCATTTTTACTCATGTTTTACTAAGTTTTTAAAAAAATATAAAATACACCAACCTTGTAGCGAATAGTCTGCTGCAAATATGACTCACAACAACAAAAAAAAAATATTTTTATAATAATACATATTTCTTTTATCGCTCATAACAACCGAAAACTATATAGATGGGCGCATTTTCGAAAAATAAACAAAAATAACGACGACGAAAACGCGAGTTTGCGATAGTAATGTTAAATCACTTTCAGGAAAACGCGGTGAAGTTGAGCGCGCGCGCTATCGCATTTTTTAACGTTGTGCGACCTGCTAATGTAAATCATTTCAAATGTAAACACAGAACGGCTTGGAAGGACCGTACGAATACCTTACCTGACTTACGATGACCGCAGCCGTTTGTTTCTGTCTTGGAATCATCGTTGGTGTACAATTCGTTTGCAATGTTTAGCTGCAAAAATTGTCGATTGAATGTCGATGAATTGATATCTTGTATGCAAGGCTGCACGTTGAATTTAATTTAACGTGATTATTATTTTGAAGTACAAAAGACGTATTACGATATATTGTTATTTAAGATTTTATTTAAAATGGAAATGTCTACCGTGTTAAAAATCAATTTATAATTTCGTAGAAATGTTACATGAGGAATGTTTATTCTTTCGTCTGTTGTCAGCACCGTTATAAATAGTGTGTGTATGGTCAATGATTCTATTGTTGAGCTTGATATATTTTCCCAGCATCGTTTGCACAGGAGATACGCAAGCTCAACGATCTCCACTGCACTCGCAACAGTTATTCCCAGCCAAAGGGAGTGGGTTCCTCTCACTGTTCCAATCATCATGTCGCTCGTGTAAGCAGGCTTATCCGTTTGAAAATATGGAAAATTTTGTTTCATCACAAATTTTATTTCAAGCAGAGATTCTTTCAGTTGAGTTGAACTTAAGAATGGATTTTTAGTGATGTTATCTTTAATGTACTCGTTGTAATAATTGGAAAGATTGCTGTATCTTGTTTTCACTTAAGGATAGTTCATACAACCACTTTCAATAAAAAACTTTTTGAACATATCAAGTTGTATTGAAGGTTGCGGCCACGAAGTTGAAGTTACGTAGGTTTGGTATGTTTTTTCATTGCAAGGCAGTGGGCAACTTCTTTCACAATTTTTTTTGATCTTGTGGAAAACTTCTACAATTAAACAAATTAAAACATAGAAATTGGTTTATGATTTAAAAATCGAGCAACGCTTTTACCATTCCCGAAAGTGCTCATTTGGGTCCAGACGAATGAATAAGTTAAACACAGAACTGATTTGACGATGGACTCAATGAAACTGAAGTTGCCACAAAACAGCACGTTGTCTGAATCATTCTCTGATGCGCTGATTAGATGCGTCTGACAATTGCATATATTTTTCAAATATTCCTGCTGACAAAATTCAATACAAATCTCGCTGGTGTATTAGATAACTGAAGAGTTATCAGAAGAGTTATTAGATATCAGAAGAGTTAGATAACTGGTTTAGCTCAGTACAGCCCAGTCTGCAATTCATTAAAACCAATGAAATGCATAAAATTTTGTAAATAGATAGATAAAACGTCACAAACTCATTGTAGGGTTCTGTCAAACGTTTTCTGTCAGTTTCAACAATTTCCACGATGTTTTCAGTGTCAGGAGCCACGTTTGAGGTCGGGAGGGGTTCCAGGACTGTGCACACTCACTTGAACACCTCTCGTTTGTGAATTTGTCAGTGAAGATTTGCAGGGTATCTTCAAGATGGTTGGTAGACCAACGTTTAACAACAAATTCATTCCTCTTATCATAGTCGTCGAGCCTGTTCAAACTGTTGGTTTCCAACGTGTAGCAAGTGTAATAGTTTACATTCCAGCGTTTTGTAAATGTGTTTTTTACTGCTTTCAAGCCAATTTTTGCCAAAAAAATGACAATCAAAAATAAAATTTGGGCAATCGTCTGAGTCCATAAGTTCTCTATTTGTATTAATTATGAAACCAGCCACCGAGGCCATTTCTTTGAAGGAATCTTTTACGGATTTGAGGAGAACGTCTCTGAACACGTGGGGATCATATTTTGTTATTTCGAAGAAGCGATGTTCAACGTCATCCAACTTTTTCAAAAATTGATTTAGAGAAAACTCATTCAATTCGCCTCTAGCAAAAGGATTCAAATTGCACAAAGTGATATCTGGAAATGATATTCTTTTACCAATCTGCGGTTTTTAATTTATTTTATCAATTTTTATGTTATTGAAACGAATGAATATTTTACCGTCTACTAATCTCAAGGAAAATAAAAATTCAATATATTCAATATTGTAAAAACATCAAAGAAACTATTCAAAATCAATAAAAACAAGAAAATTAAGTCAAGTAAGAGAAAGCAAAACAATTCTCTACTGTCATGTATGCACCTTCTCTCCGTATTCTGTCATAATATGGTACGTGTAATAATCTGTTAACGATATGTACAACCATTTCACCATGTAAGATGTCGAACCTAACAGGAACGCGAGCCAGAGCAATTTAAGGAAGACATCCTTGGACGTAAAATTTTTTTTTTTTTTTTTTTTAATCCAAATTTTATTTGACAGAAAAAATAAGTCAGGAGATCAAAAAAGTAACAAACTACTTGTGCAGACCACCTTAACTAATTAAAGTTCGTGTGCAATGTACAAAACACAAAGTAGACAAGTCGTTAAATAGAATTAAACATAATAAAAATATATATATACATACACACACATACACACATATACACACACATACATATATATAATAACATCTTAAACATCGACGGACATGGACATAACTTCGCTCTTAGCATAATGCTTAAAGTGTTCAATTGTAAGTTGCAATTGGTTATGCATAGCTAAAACGTTCCAAAGTCTAACTCCCTTAGCAACCCAACTTCTATCGTAAGTAGAAGTTCTAACTTTTTTTGACATCAACATACCATGTTGTCTGGTGGCCGATGTGATCTTACAAAAAACATTTAGGTGCTTATAATCGTTATAAGAAAGAATTTTATAAAGAAAAATCAGAAGAATGTAATTGTGTAATTGATCAAACCTAAGAATTTTATGACTTCGGAACAAATGATTGGTGTGATCACGATAACTTAAGGAGAAACACAGGCGTATAAAACTCTTTTGCAGCACAATGATCTTATTGATTAGATATTTACTTGCGGATCTCCAGAAAACATTCCCATACAGCAGATAGGGATATAGAAAAGAATAATAAAGCATCATCATTGTTTCAGTATCCAATCTGTTTCTCGCTTTAAATAATATTCCAATAACTTGATACAATTTATTGACTATTTTGTTAACGTGATTGGTCCATTTTAAATCACTTTGAAGTATAACCCCCAAAAATTTTATCGATTGCACTCTTGGGAGCACAGTGCCCTGAATGAACAATTTATTTTTTTCTAGAATTTTGTTATTAGTACTTATTTTAGGGCCAAATATAATATAACATGATTTACTTAAGTTCAATGCCAATTTATTTTTCAAAAACCAATCACAGAATTTTTGGAGCTGACGATTCATTTCTAGGAACAATTCATTTGGGTCTTTTCCCGACAAAAAAATATTGGTGTCGTCGGCGAACAGGATTGTAGTACATTTATCTGATATTGAAAAAATATCATTTACAAAAATTATAAATAATAGGGGGCCGAGTATCGAACCTTGGGGCACCCCTGTTTGAATTTTAAACGGAGGAGACACTACATTATCAACTGAAACAAACTGACTCCGATCAGATAAATACGACCTGAACCAGTCAAACACAACTCCACGAAAACCGTACATCGACAACTTTTGTAGCAAAATTTCGTGATCAATTACATCAAAAGCCTTTTTTAGGTCAATGAAAACACCCAGGCTAAATTTTTTCTTATCGAAACTCTCCAAGAGAGACAAATGCAACTCGGCAATGGCCTTCTCAGTTGAAGATTTTGGGACAAAACCATACTGATGCCTATTGATCACGCTATGCTCAATCAGATAATCCCACATGCGATTGAACATTAGCTTTTCAAAAATCTTGGAAAAAACCGGCAGTATTGAGATTGGACGGTAATTTTCAAAAAGAGTCGGGTCACCACCTTTAAAAACCGGTATTACTTTAGCCATTTTTAAATCATCAGGGAATTTGCCCATTTTAATAGAATCGTTAAATAGTTTTGAGATTTGACTAGCAACATGAAAAACAGTATGTTTGAGGATCTTAGTAGAAAGAAAATCACAATCAAAACTATTTTTCAAATTCAAATTGCCAACGACCGAGACAATCTCATCCGGAGTTGTGTCTCGTGGAATAAATATTGGGTTATTAGAAACCACATATGGACCGACATTTGAAATCAACTGACCATCGCCTAAAATTTTATTGATATTTTTACCTATCTCAACAAAAAATTTATTCAACCCTGTAACGGTGCTCAATTTAGCAGTTTCACTGGCATCGTTTGAGAACAATTTATTGCATGATTTTTTTGACCCCAAAATTTCATTAATTATCCTCCATCTGTGTTTTGTTCCAGGTTGATTTTTTAATTTATTTTCAAAATATTTTTTTTCCGTGAATCTTTTGACATTTATAAATTTATTTTTAACCTTATTATATGCATTTTTATTTGCAGGGGATGGATTGTGTAGATGCCTTTTGTAAAGAACATTTTTATACAAGGAAAGATTATAAAGATCGATATTCATCCATGGCCTTCGGAAGCGATTTTTTTTATTCACCAATGGCAAAGCTAGATTGATGCAGTTTAAATAAGTCTTTAGGAATTTCTTAAAATTTGATTCAAAATCGGACCCGTAATCAGACATGTTCCCCTGGATATTCTGTAATAAACAATTTGCTTTTTTTAGGTTCTCAGAATTAATCAAACGGGTTTTAATGTAAGGGTTTTTGCCACCGACAGCCTTAGCATTCAATGGTATGCAAAGAAAAATAGGTAAATGGTCAGAAACATCGCTGTATAGAATTCCTTTAGGGCAGCCGCCGATGCCATAATTAGTAAAAACATTATCGATCATTGACGAATGGCTTGATGTTATTCTAGTCGGTTGGTTGATAATTGGATGCAAATTAAATTGAGCCATAAGATTTAAAAACGATAATGATGCCTGGTTTTTTACAGCCAAATCAATGTTAAAATCCCCAAGTATAAAAACATCACTACTGACATCGTCTTTTAAAAGTTCATATAAAAATTCCTGCATTTTAGATAAGAAATTATCCAATTTATAATTTGGTGGCCTATAAATACAAATGATTATATTTTTTTTATTGTCAGAGGCAAATTTAATTCCGACCCATTCAAACAGGTCGGAACTGAGATAAAAATTACAATTTAAATTTTCGTACGCTAAGTTTTTATCAATTAAAAAACCAGTACCCCCACCCCTTTTACCCACCCTATTTTTCGTAACTAGACTATGGCATGGAAAATACGATAGTATAGGGCCATAGTTAGTGTCATCATTTAGCCATGTTTCACTTAAAGCAACAATTTGAGGGAACATATAATTGAAAACCATTAATCAACAGTGCCAAATCATCAGCATGCGCAGTCAAACTTCTGACATTTATATGCAGTAAAAATAAATTAGAGTTATTGTTAGCTGAAACATTTAAAAAATCGATAAGTTCACAGAAAACAAAATAATGACTAATGTTATTTGGCATATAGTATTCACAATTTACAATAGCATCCACATCATCAAAATTGTTCAACACACATGATCCATCAACATCCAAAACAATTGGCATAGTTTCATCCTCATCTGCATCATCCATATCAACGACATCAGAAGCAACACAAACATCATAAGACACCGCATCACACCAATTCATCGCTCTACCACTAGCAGGATTCATATTCATTTCTTGACCATCGGTAATTTCATGATCTTCCATCTTCCTGGAGGACCCCTCACCCTGAACAAAAAATCACCACTTGCTGCCTCTTGTTTTCTAGCCTCGTCCACCAAACTCTTTAGTTCAATTCTTTGATCTTTGGTTAAGTCATGGCTGAGGCTAATATTACCAAATTCATTGTTTAACAGTTTTAGTCTCGAGAGATTGCTCATTATAAGGGCTTTAATTTTTATGTTGTCCATTTTAATCAGCAATGGCCTATTTGAGTTTTCCTTTTTCTTCCCCAATCTTAATATTTTAATGACATCCTTGTCATTTACAGCATCATCTGTCAAATGCTTAAATATTTGAATGATGCGCTTTTTGTCATCACCATGTTCTGACAGTCGGAACAACATAATATTTCTTTCTTTCTCTTTAGCCTCAGATGCCTCGACCAGTGTCTTCTGCACATTTTTGAACTCAACGCTGACTGCTTCCTTCGTCTCGATCATCTCCTTTTTTAACGCTTGGAAACAGTCGTTTATCACCTCATCATTTAACTTCACAACATTTGTAGTCACAACATCTTTTAGAGTATCTGCATAAGATTTTTTAAGATTTTCCTGCAGCACCACAATCCTGTCATCAATACTTTCGTTATCATCTCTGCTGTCAAGTTTGTTTTGAACAATCTTTACCTGATTACTGAGTGAGACGTTGCTTTCTTGCAACTTTCTTATCTCCTCTGTCAACTCACTTAGTTGTTTATTCGATCTAAACATGTCAATATGTTCAAGGCAGTTTTTACATATCCAGACGAAATTAACAGCCTGCAGGAGTTCTTTTGTTGTTGGTTCAGTTACTCCACTACATTTCCAATGCATAGTCACTGAACTACATAATTTACATTGTAACGAATCCTTTAAAGTCGCATTTCCATTGCAACTCTGACATTTATTTCTGCCTGCCATCAATTAAAACAACTCAAAACGTAAACACTGGACATGCAAATTTAAACTGCACTTATGTTCGACTTTAACGTTAGTATCAGTCTACAATCAGAACAAATTTCACAACTCTTAGGAGTGTATGTACAGAACTATAAACAGCTACAGTAAATAATCAGCCTAAATTATTTGCCTTTCAATTCAAACTATTAAAGATTAAATTTAAAACTAAATTTTATATTATTCAAAAAATAAATTATATATTCATAATCCCCTTAATTTTGTCTATAAAATGAACACAAATTTAACAATTTAACTTTGAAAAAAAACGCTGAAAATTAAGAAATACGACGAGTAATCTAAATGCGTCCGATATGCGTAAACCCATATGTCTTGAAAATATTTTGAAATGCCTCTGATCGAGCAGTGTTTTCCATATTCCAACAGTTCTAACTTTAGAATTTCATTCATTCTTTAATAAAAGCATTAGCTGAGACATACTTTGTAACTGCTTTTCGTTTGTTAATTCATTGAAATTTGAGCATGAGATGTTGTTTCAAACCAACGTAGTATTGATCCAATTTTTTTTTAAATTTTTTTGTCATTATTTTGCGACAGCATTACAACTGCATAAAAAAATTAAAGTAAAAATCTCGTGCGCTTTGCTTTCGTTGAAAAACAATTTTTTTTAATAAACGATCAGTTTTTTTACAATTCATTGTGTGTTTTATATAAACAATAAAAAAATGTGCATGATAAAAATTTGAAGTTTCAACGATCGAAATTTCAAGAAGAAGAAATGGAAAGAGAACTATCTATTGAAAGTTTAAAATAAATGAAATTTTTGGTTGATATGAGAATCGCGATTGAAATTCAAAACATTTCACTACTTCTTATGTTTGTTCGCTGCATCCGATCAATCTCTTCATCGATGTTCCGTCCATTGACCTGTTTGCAAACAAAAAATTTGATAAATTTCAAATACGTGGGTTGAATTCGTCTTTGCATTTTCATTATTTGCATCTTCAAAATTTAAAATCATCAAAAACTTTCACTGAATTTTATTGAAATTTAAATTGAGTTTTTTTTAACGAATTTTACAGTTGTTGAACTTCCACAACATTCAAAATATTTTTTCAATTTTTGAATAAAAATGATTTAAAAATGCCAACCAGCTACAACAAGGTGAACGAACATGTGAAATGGATGGAACTCAAACTGCTGATGTAGGGTATGCATGTGTGTGTGTGTGTGTGTGTGTGTGTGTGTGTGGTGTGTGTGCGTTTCTTTAATTTTCATCCATCATTTGTTTCACTATTTAGTTCAGTGTTCTCTTTTTAAGAATTGTTGTTGGCATGTTCACTGAGCTGCGTTCCTTTCCTGTAATGTCGTTATTATATCTAATGAGATTTTGGCTTCAGATGATGATGATGATAATAATAATAATAATAATAACAAAGTCATTTATATAGCGCCATGATAAGCATTATCAGCAACTATTGAAGGACAAACAGAAGTTTTCCATAATTCCTTGTATATCACAAAAGATAATTTCGGTTGTGTTTAATGAAAGAAGTCAATAAAATAATAAATTAAATGGAAAAACTTCCTTGTGAAGAGCTGAACATCAGCAGCTTTCATTTAACCTATATATACTTATATCTCCTAACCTAAATTGTCATCTACATAGTAGTATTTTACATTTGTAGAATTTGTTTGTATGAACGTATAAGAGTGTTTGAACGTTAATATCTTGTGAAAGTAATATTTGTTGTGACTTAAGTACAGTGAGACTTATAATGAAGTTCGACTTGAAATGATACTCACGTACAAAGATGTTTTATCACGTCAAACAAGCAGAATTAACAATAAAACCCAAATTTAAATTTCAAACGGATGTTAGGAGAGGAAGGGTTTTGAAAGCACCTGCCTACCGACAGCCAACTCGCTACAACCATATTTTTTTTTTTATAAATTTTGTATGAATTCGATTTTTTAATCGCTCAAGCCACTTTGTAATAGAGAATTTTTATTTTAAATGGTTTTTTCAAATCTGATTTATTTTAAAAATGTAAGCTGAATAAAAATAGGTCAACTAATTTCCAAACTCCATGGCACCCTACAACCTACTTTACCCTTTGCCACCGAATTCGAACAGTGACATGAATTGAAAAAAAACTTGCTCGTTTGTGTAAAATTTTGTTGTATCGTTTCGCGGGATTCCATTCATTGTTATGTTTGCTGGAACAACAACAGCAGATGCAACTATTCACGCGCCTTCGTTTCACAACCACGCACACGCCAATTATTTATTTTTTTATTGTGTACGTCCTGAAGCATATTTAATATAGTTTATAGAAATGTTTTGAAAATTTGAGTGGTCAAATAAGTTACCACAGAAAATATATTATCATAAGAGGGCCATGTATAATAAAAAGGATCTGTATCATTAGAAGGATTTGTATCATAAAACGGATATGTATCATACAAAAGATATGATAAATATACAAACTAAAAAATTTGTTTGATAATAAATAGTTTATTACAAAACTACAACCAATATCCAACAAACAATAACTTGAAATAATGAAAATTAGAAAAATTTATGTCCCAACAAAACCTTACAACTTGGTTGAAGTAGTAGCAATCGATGGGAAATCTTCATCAATAACGTGATCACCTTTTCCGTTGGTTGTTTCCGTCACGTTTGTTGTGTTTTTATTTTGCATTTTCTTCTCCCAGCAGCGTTTGAACAGCAAGTAGATCAGCTCTATGACCTCCACTCCACTTGCCACTGTGATTCCCAACCAGAGAGACAACATTCCTCCCACCGATCCGATCATCATGTCATCCGTGTACGCTGGGTTGTCTGATTGGAAATATGGAAAATTCTGTTTCATCATAAATTTCAGTACTAGTAGAGATTCTTGCATTTGTGTTAAATTGGAAGAAAACATTTCTTTCTTGGTGTTGTTGGAGAGTTTGTTGAAATAATTGATGTATCTATTTTTTATTTTAACATTATCCATGCAGCCACCATTAATGTAATATTTTTTAAAAATATCAAACTGCACAGATGGTTGTGGCCACGCAGCTGACGTGATGAACGTTTGGTATACAGTTTCTTTGCACGGCAGCAAGCAGTTATCTGAACAAATTTCCGTACTTTCGTCGTATTTGATTAGTTTTGCTTAATTTAAAAATAAAAAACTTTAACATCTAATAATTTGCTCATCAAATTATCACTTACTATAAACTTTGTCGAGCTGAGACCAAAGGAGAGATCCAGAAAGTCGAAGGATGGAATTAAAAAAAATGTCATCGTCGGTCATCGACATGTTGGCATTCATGAAAGCACTCAAATTTCCACACAACGGAGTTTTTTCAATTTTTTTTTCAGGAACGTTTAGCTGATGAGTGAAACACTTGAACATACTTTTCACAAGATTTTGCTGACAGTAATCTATGCAGACGTCGGGTGTATACTTTACTGAGGATGAACTGAATAACGTTACATCTTCAGTGCATCCCAATCTATTGGGTTTTCAAAATATCCATTAAATTGCGATTTTGCATATTTGGTTGTACTCTGAATATTTAATATTGACAAACTTGTTGTAAGGTAACTTTAAGCGATTTCTGTTCGTTTGAATGATTTCCACGATGTTTTCAGTGCCAGGAGCCACATTGAATCCACGCTTGAGATCAGGAGGGGTTCCAGGACTGTGCACACTCACCTGCACTCCTCTGCCTTGAGAACTTGTCAGTGAAGATCTGTAGGGCACTTGAATGGAGTTGGGAGGACCAACATTTAATAACACATTCAACCCTCTAATATTTGTTGAACTATTAACGTTTAACTTGCTAGTTTTCAAAGTGTAACAAGTGTAATAATTTGCATTCCAAACTCTTGCAAAACTGCTGACAGAGCATTTGTCTTTGGTCTCAAACCAATTTGTGCCAAAAAAATTACAATCAACAACAAAGTGCGGACAGTCAACAGATTGAGGACGGCTTCTATTCAAATTGATTATATAACCAGCCAGTGAGGTCATCTCCTCAAATGCTTCGTCTACTTCTCTCAACTTAATTGAAGAGCTCCCATTTATTTTCATATCTATATGTTGCTCGTTCCATTGAATAGCTGTTTTATTGTTTAGTATTGCTTGAAACCGTTTTTTAAAGTTTTCCAAATTTTCTAAATAATCCTTGACAGAAATTTCTTTAGGTTCTCCTTCTGCAAAGACGTCTAAATTGCATAGTGTGATATCTGGAAATGATATTGATTGTCCGATCTGGAAATCAAAGTTTAAAACGAAAATTTCAGAATTTAATTTAAAAACTATATCACAAATACTCAAAACTTTTATAATTAAGAATAAAGTAAATAAATAATAGACATTTTTTAAACCATATCCAGAATCATTTTCCAAAAATAATTTAAACCATACAACTTTTTCTCCATACTCTGTGGACACTGGATATTCGAGATAATCGCTGAACAACAGGTACAGTCTGTACGACATGTAGCTTGTCGAGCCCAGCAGCAAACCAAGCCACAGCAACTTCAGAAAGACATCTTTCGACTTGAAATATTTTGATAGTCCTCTGACGGATGTATTTTCGCCGTATTTAATAATTTCTGATTTTAAATTATCACCCATCCTGTTATGAATTGCACTGACTCAATTAAAATTTTATTTAGCAAAGATATTGCATAATGTTTATTATATATATAGATACATATTCAACGGTGATATTAACATTTATCACTGCAGGCAATATTTGTGTTTTATAAATTTAAAACATGCATTTAAACATGAAAATTTTTTTAATTTTTACATTCAATTTTCAAAAATGTAATAATTTTCTTAAGACCCCTATTTCTTACTTCTAGTTTCAATCTCAATTTTTTGTAAACCACACTTTGTGGTAATCGTAAAAAATGTATTTCAATTTGTTGATTATAGATTTTAAATTAAATTTTCTTCCTTCCAATTTATTTATTCATAAGATGTTTATGTACTTTTCGACAAAAATGCAAAACTGAGTGGTGAAAGCAGCCATGTACGTACATACATATATATCGATACATTTACTCTTGGCACAGAGAGATGAGATGGTTTCAATTCATACGTTTCTTTTCACAGAATCGATAACAAGAATTGACTGTAACATTTATATTATAATTTTATATATTAGTGAGTTTTTATGCTAAAAAAACTCAATTTAAAGTGTTCTAAAACAAATTCCTGCAAAATATTGGTGAATATTATCTATCTATCTATCTATCTATCTATCTATCTATCTATCTATCTATCTATCTATCTATCTATCTATCTATCTATCTATCTATCTATCTATCTATCTATCTATCTATCTATCTATCTATCTATCTATCTATCTATCTATCTATCTATCTATCTATCTATCTATCTATCTATCTATCTATCTATCTATCTATCTATCTATCTATCTATCTATCTATCTATCTATCTATCTATCTATCTATCTATCTATCTATCTATCTATCTATCTATCTATCTATCTATCTATCTATCTATCTATCTATCTATCTATCTATCTATCTATCTATCTATCTA